GCAGAACGCCTCATCTTTCTCCCGCGGAGCGGCTGGTAGTTTCGAACCGCTGACCTTAAGGTTCGCAGCCCGATTCGATTCGTAACCACTACACTACCAGAGCTCCTTATGCTAAGGCAATAGACTTAACACAATTCAATCAGTTGTTTCCCCCTAGCTATTTCAAGGAACCTGGGGCCCTGGAGGTGCAGTACTGACCTGCTAACCTCGAGGTCCGTTGTTCAAATCCACTAACCACTGCAGGAGAAAGCTGAAGCTGTCTGCTCCTGTAAAGAATGATAATCTCGGAAACTAAGGCACAGTTCTACCCTGTCCTATAGAGTCACTATGAATTGAAGTCGACTTGATGGCAGTGGATTTGGATTTTTGTTATTTCAGTGATCTCTAGAGTATAGTGGATGTTCATCAGAAGTTTATAACCTTTTATTCGACTTTAAAAAACTTTTACTTTAAAACCTCTAATAAAAGACAAGGAACATAGTGAATCTGTGGGATAAACGCTGGACTATGAACCACAAGGTTGGTAGTTCGAGCCTACCAGTGATCTACCAAATCACTCCATGGGAGAAAGATAAGGCTTTCTGCTTCCATAAAGATTTACAGCCTTGGAAACCCTAGACTGGGTTGCTATGTGTTTGAACTGACTGTACGGCACTTCACAACAACAACAGTAAAAGACAGCATACACACTCATGTGTTGTTATTATATGTCCAAAGTGTTATAGACCGCTGATGTATTATTAAATTCTGCTGCCAGCTTAGCTCATTTTGGGGAAGACTGCCTATCAGCTTCAGTGAAGAGTATAAGGCTATGGCAGGGTAAGCTGTTTACAGTGAGCAAGCCACTAAGCCCAGATTCAAGGAGAGGGAATATAGACCCTGCCTCAATAGGAGAAATGTGGAAGAATTTCTACACAATACTTTAAATCAACATAATTTTGTATTAATCAGGATGGAAGGAATATACAGAGTGTACCAAAAATAACTGGTCACCCATTCAGCCATTTCAGGAGGTAGCATATGATCAAGAACCAGTGACATTGAAGGAAGAAGTCCAAGTGACACTGAAGGCATTAGCAAAACCCAGGGCTCCAGGAATTGATGGAACACCAATTAAAACTGATGCAACCTGGAAGCACTCACTTGTTTATGCCAAGAAATTTGGAAGACAGCTTCCTAGCCAACTGACTGGAAGAGATCCATATCTGTGCCTATTCCAAAGAAAGGTGACACAACAGCATGTGGAAATTAAACCATGTCATTAATATTACACACAAGTAAAATCTTCCTGAAGATAATTCAAAATCAGTTACACCAGCCCGTCAACTGGGAGCTGCAAGAAACTCAAGTTGGATTCAGATGAGGATGTGCAGTGAAAGATATCATTGCTGACATTCATTGGAGATTGGCTGAAAGCAGAGAATACCAGCAAGATACTATATTTTATTGACTATGCAAAGGCGTTCAACTATGGATCATGACAAACTATGGATAGCATTGTAAAGAATGGGAATTCCAGAACACTTAATTGTGCTCATGCAGAACTTGTACACAGACCAAGAGGCAGTCCTCAGAACAAAACAAGGGTACACTGCATGGTTTAAAATTAGGAAAGCTGTGCACCAGGGTTGTATCCTTTCAACCATATTTGTTCAATCTGTATACTGAACAAATAATCTGAGAAGCCGGACTATATGAAGAAGAACAGGGCATCAGTATTGGAGGAAGGCTTATTAACCGGCTGTGAAATGCAGATGACACAACCTTGCTTGCTGAACACAAAGAGGACTTGAAGCACTTTCTGATAAAGATCAAAGAATATAGCTTTCAGTATGGATGACAACTTTAGGGGGAAAATCCTCATAATTGGACCAAAAAAACAACATTATGATCAATGGAATTGTTGTCAAGGATTTCATTTTACTTGGATCCACAATCAATGCTCATAGAAACAGCAGTCAAGAAACCAAATAACATATTGCATTGAGCAAATCTGCTGCCAAAAACTTCTTTAAAGTGTTCAAGTACAAAAATGTCATTTTGATGACCATGATGTACCTGACCCAAGTCATGGTATTTTCAGTTGCCTCATATGCATGTAGAAGCTGGACAATCAATAAGGAAGACTGGAGAAGAACTGATGCATTTGAATTATGGTGTTGGCAAAGAATGTCGACTTTGCCATGGACTGCCAGAAAAACAAATAAATCTATCTTGGAAGAAGTACAACCAGAATTCTCCTTGGAAGTAAGAGGATGGTAAAACTTCATCTTATTACTTTGCACATGTTACCAGAAGGAAGTAGTCCCTGGAAAAAGACGTCATACTTGGCAGAGGGGCAGTGGAGAAAGGAAGACCCCCTCATGAGATGGATTGGCACAGTGACTGCAACAATGGACTTGAACATAATAATTTTGAGAATGGCCCAGGATTGGGCACTATTTCATACTGTTGTGCATAGAATTGCTATGAGTTGGAACCAACTTGATGGCACCTAACAATAACAACAACAAGCAGCTCAACACATAATTTCATCCTGTGCTTTATGTAAGTACAATTATTATATGTTACCCTGACTTAATTTTTTTTTATTCATCAGACAACTTTATTGTTCTACTTGATTTCCTAATAACTGATTACAAAATTCAACTTGTAAATGTATGCCAATGGTAAAATTTCATTAAAAAAAAAAAAAGTAAGTCTGCTACTGAAAGGCTTGTACAGTAATCTCCAAGGTTTTGCATTTCTGTGTCCGTGTTTGTGTGTGTCTGTGTGTACAATATGGGAAGGAAACACTAAGAGCAGAGTTCTACTTTGTATTGCGCTAGATTTAGCAACTTAAAATCCTATAGAATTTAGCATCACATCTGTCTCCCTCATCCCATCCCCCAGGGCAAACATTCCTCAGTTTACTCTAGCCAAGCATTGCCTTCAGTATCCCTTGGTGTTCATTGACCTTGACATTGCCCCCAGCTGCCTGGCACATCCGTCCTGTGAACAGGGAGCATGCCTGCCTTATCACCCTGTACCCCTAATGCATGGAACAGAGTAAGTAAGCCATCCAACTTTAGTCGAATGTCTAATGAATGCTATGTGGGTAGCTACCTCTCTCTCTGCACCTCCTAATTCCTCCTCTGTTTACCCTTGAGAAACAACCGTACATCTTGGGAAAGTCTGGAGTCAAGTCAAGAAACTTGAATGTTTGTCTCCATTCTTCACTCATTAGTTTTATGTAGTTCCAGATAAAATTTATTTAACCCACAATTTTCTCATTTGCTAAAAAGATAAAAAATTATCTGCCCTCTGACCTTACTGTGGCACTGTAGGATAAGCACTGGACTGTTAATGCAAGGTCGGTGATTAAACCCACCAGCTGCATCTCTGGTTGCTGTGAATCAGAACCAACTTGATGGCACTTGCCAACGTTGACCTCACAGGTTTGTTGAGTGGATATGACCATGTAATGAATGCAACAGAACTCCTAAACTTTTAAATGTTTCAATTTGGATAATACTTATCTACTTTGTTTTTGTTTCCATTAAAGGAGCTTGACTCTCATCTCGCGACAAAAGACTTGGATCAGGTACCAATTCCAGTGTCAGGTTCACAACTTGGACACCCCTCCAAACTTACTTGCTTCTGCATTTGTCTCCCACATCTTTGTACATTCTGTTCCAGCCAAATAAAGCTGTTCCCTCACCCAACACAACCACTTCACTCCTCCTTCTCTTCCAATGAGATCTTCACCCCCTCAGCTCCCCTTCAACATGTTTACTTTGGAAGCTTTGCAAAGCCAACAAAGACCTATCCACCGACATCCTCCCTTAGCCTGGTTCCTGGTGTACCTTTTACTGCATTTCTCCATCTCTCAGCTTCTTCTGCCTGATCCTTGACAGTCTGTTCACCATAAGCTCACATTCTTGACTTTTTCTGGGTGTATGGCCTCCTCATTGAACTTGGGCCTTAGAGAGTGCAACCATGTGAGATGCTGGTAAGCTTGACGGCCATGATGAGGATGTAGGCTCTTGGTGCAGGACAGAAGTGACCTTTCCTCCTAGACATCTTTGTGTTTGGGGGCTGACTCTCCTGTCAGGTACTTTTCTCAGAATGCAGGTTCCTGCTAGCCCCCAAACACAAAGATGTCTGCCTTCTCTTCCATTGCTACCATCACAGAGCTTCTGAAGGAGAGGAAGTAGACAGGACACAGTATAGACAAGCTTGGGAATGGGAGAAGAGTAGCAGTCTCCATACTTCCACCTGCCCTTCTGTGCCTGCTTTCAAACTCTCACTCCCATGATGCCTTCATCATCTAGGTCTGATACCTCATAAAGAACAAATAGATTTGGGGACCCAACACAACCTTTTAATTCCAAGCAGAGTCCCCCTGCCCCAGCAATATCACACACAGTGGAAAGGGATGCCAGGGTCCTGTCAGGAACAAAACCCACACCTGGGAAAAAAATTTATATATATATATATATATAATTATATACACATATGTATTTGTAGAGAGGAGAAGCTGAGAGTGTGATTAGAGCAGGGCAGAGAGCTGGGTGAGGAAAGCTGGGTGAGGTGCCCCAATAAATTACATTCTTTAGAAAGAATGGTTTGGGATGCATGGTATGGGTGGGTCTTGGTTGCCAGGACACACAGAAAGGTCCTTGTAGCATGGCTTCTTGGTTCCTCCAAGGAAGCCTAGAAGACCCGGGCTCGGTCCAGTACCTGGTTGGTGCTAGAAGATAGAATTCTAGCTGATTTTGCCTGGAGGCTGATGGCAGGCTGGGGTTTTGTATAGGCAACATCTCCACTCTAAGCCAATGCTTCTGAGGAAGCCACAGAGCTGAACAAGAGGCTTCAAAGCTTGGGGGTTGCAAGTTGAGAACAGGAAGAGCCAGAGGAAAGGCTGATCTCCCTGTTGGAGGTCAGAACTCTAGCTTGCTCCTTCTAGAGCCAGAGCAGCAGGAGTCCTGGGTACAGGGAAGCTGTCATAGTGAGGTGTGGCAGAGTGCTTGGTGTACACAGGGCTCTGGAGTTCCCCTGCTGGCTTCTTCCTACCTCCCACCAAGTCCCACCAGGGCAGTGCCCACTCATCATTTGCCAACAGCCAACAGTGTGCCTGACCACTGAGTCCCCACTTCCAGTTCTCCTTATCCTACTCTGGAGACCTTTGTGTGGGGTGGGAGGCAGGAAGAGGGCACAAAATTAACTGTGTGCTGTAGTCCAGACTGGGCTGCCTGTGTACTGGGGACCAGGGATGACAGCAGGAAGACTCCTGGCTCATTAGGAGGAAGAAAGCCCATGCCACCCCAGGACTGCAGAATTCTTGGTCTCCCCATCTACCTGCCAATCCCACCCTTACTTCACCTCCCACTGCCCTAAGAGATGACTGCTCCCAGCCCACCAGGGGAACAGGATGCTTTGGGATCTCGTGAATGGCTCCAGAGCACTGAAGCAGCAGGGGTGGAGTTGGTCATAGAAAGGGAGGGGACAATCAGAAGAGAGAGGCCTTTTTCTTGAGTTCATTCCGCTTCCACAGAGCCAACTTGCCAAACTCCTCGGGAGACATGGCAAATACTCTTGAGAAGTCCTCAGCTGACAGATGTCTCTGTTGGGGACACACAGAGGCAGTTTAGGGATGAGGGCAAGGCAGGCTTAGGCTGTGTTGAATGACTAAGGGGCACTCGGGCTTCCTATCTTCCCCACCAGACAAGGGACAAGGTTCCAATGCCTTCACCCTACATACCTCAAGCCGCATGCGATCCACACCTGGAGGCAACTTGGTTCGCCCCTTATTGGTCACCACCAGCTTTTCATAGGGATAGATCTGGGGGTTAGGGGAAGGAACAGTGTTAGGCCCATTAAGTTCCCATGTCCGTGTAACTCCCACAACTTCTCAACAGAGCCCCCTTCTCAGCCTGCAGGGAATATCTGGGGCTCATGCCATTTGCCATTCGTTTCCCCCAGCTTCCCTGCTGTCCCTCCCATCATCAATTCCAGGAGGCCCCTCAGCGCATTCAACCTCCCTGGCTTCTCCCCCAGCCCCCACCCATGAGAGAGATGGTTTTAGCCTTCTTCTCCCACCAGCTTGTTCCCTGCCCACCTCCCCTGGCTCTGCCCCTCACCTTCTGCTCCAGTACACAGGGCAGGGAGTTCCCCCGGTCCATCCTCCCCCTCTGGCCCTCTCCGTTCTGGGGAGACCAAAGCCGCAGTGAGCCAGAGTGGGGCAGGGAGACCTTCCCAGCCTTACTCTGGGTGGCTTATCTCTTCACCAGGCAACTCCCTGAACCCATGCCCCACCCCCCTCCAGTGGCTTGAGTCTGGTTTCTGGTGCTGCAAGTGTTCCTCTCCAGAAGAAACTCACCCGCAGACCTGTGGAAGACAAGAGTCAAAGTTCAGAGACAGCTCTAAAGTCAGCAGGCCTCCAAACCTCCTCCCAACTCAGCCGCCCAGCCCTCCAGCCACATAACCCTGCCCACAATCCAGGCTCAGGCCACACAGGGAACTACTTCAACCTCTTCCCAGCATCCCCTGCATCAGCTCAGCCCACTTCTCACCTGGGCTTCCAGTTTCGCTCCCTGATGGGCTGAAGTCTGTGGACTGTAGCTAGAGAGGACACAGAAGGATCAGACAGAAACTAGGAGGACCCCCTCATCTTCCCTCCTTTGGTTTGAGGGTACCCCACTCCCCCAGAATGCCCAAATGTCCCAATCCCTCAGAGGCAGCCACATGTACACTCTTCCCACAGTTAGTATCTGGCCCAGAGACCTTACCCGGCTCAGAGTGGTTCTGCCATAAGCAGGAAGAGAAGATGACTTAGACGTTCCAGGGTGCAAAGCTAGAAGAGAGCAAGAGACCAAGTTCAGTCCATTTGGCCCTGAGAAGGCAGGGCAGTCAGCGGGACATAGGGTGAACTTGGTAGCTTCTAGTTCCTACATCACCTTCAATAAGTAACATAGTGTTGGCCAGTCTCAACTGTCTCTTGACACTTTCCCTCCTATGTTGAACTAGAAGTACAGCAAATGCATATTTGGGCCAAATGCCTGAGTACTAACGTCTAGATTCAGCCAAATCTAAGGCCTAAGCCAAATATCACCACCACAAACTGAACCCCTGGGATACATAAATCAATCTGTAAACTAAATAGAATGATTTCAGTATTATAATTTATTATTAGTAATGTTAGTAGTCAAATTCTAAATGTTTGGTATGCTTCAGTGGCTAGATTGTACCTGCAGTCAGTATTCTGCCCATTTACATTGTTAGATGTCACATTCAACCAACACATTTAATAATAACACTAAACCTTTAAGTACTACCTATTATAATCCATGATGATTTGTTTTCAGTAACTTGTTTTCCTAGAAAGAAGTTGGTATCTAATATTCTTAGCATGGACAGGTCTCAGAAGTTTCTTCATCTCCAATTAACTAGCAATTGTGAGCATTCTATAGTAATTGTTTTGATAACCATTTTTGTTTAAATGTTTAGCTTCCATAAATTTAAAACTATAGTGAACTCTCTTCCTAAAGCATTCTTATAGGATCTGTTGTTTGGAAGCTTGGTAGTAACAAAATGTATTTTGAGGAACTTATATATATATTTTCCCTAACACTTCTTGTTTCCATAGAAAATGATCAACATTTATGATCAACACTGAAGTATTTTATTCTTGTGATAATAAATAAACATTTATGCTTCAAATGGACGGATAGAATTTCAGTCTATGAAACAAGTAAGATTTTCACTCCAAATTATTTCTAGAATGGTTATATTTGGAGCTGAGGATAATCACTGTGAATCACAAGGTCGGCGATTTGAGTCCACTAGCAGCTCCGTGGGAGAAAGATGAGGCTTTCTGCTTCTGCAAAGGTTTAAAAGTCTCAGAAACCCTATACTGGGTCACTATGAGTCAGAACCAACTTGATGGCACTTAACAACAACAACAACATATCAATATTACCATTATATCAGAAGGACATATTCTGAGATTGTTACAGCTGACTAGATATGATAATAACATGCAATTGCATGAGAACTGATGATGCACAAGTTCAGGGATGTCAATAGTAAAGTTGAGGTAGACATTTGGCTCTTCAACTTCATAAGCCAAAGGAGGTTAAAGAGCTAATTTGGGTGAGGGGAACACTGAAACCAAATCCAATCTAGGGCATCTTTATTCTTTAGGCCTTAAGCTCATTCTTACGGCCTTAACTATTTATTCTATCTCTTAAAACACCTTTTGTAACTACGAAGGTAAGTCAAAAATACTGCTGCAATATCACAGAAACCTTTATTATATGAAAATGTGAAGCCATTATTTCTCAACATGTATCTCCACCCATCTTTATATACTTTGAAGGGCATGTTTCAATTTCTCTCTCCCTTCTAATGTGATTTATTCCACATCAGAATGGTAGTTTTGGCAATCTCGAGGAATTCACATCATGTTCCTTTTAAAAGTTGAGTTGAGCTTAGGGAACAAAAAGATGTCTGGTCCGGGTTGTAAAGTGGATGGGGTAAAACTTCCCAGTGAAATTCTCACAGGACCAACCCTTGCTTGCTGCTATCAAAGAATGAGTGGGTGCATTGTTGGGTTGGGGGGGAAAAAAATTCTTGGTGGTCTTTTTCTCACCAATGGAGTTTTCCATTTTCTTAAAACTTCTTCATAATAAATTCCTGTGGTTGTCTGTATCCTTTGAGAAAATCTGTCAAGATTAGCTTTTTGAGACACCATAGTCAACTGGCGTAACATAGTCCACAAAGACAGTGCTCTACATTCTGTGTTGGTGTGTAGTGATTGGGGCCTTAACTTGTGAGTATCCACCTAATGTGCAACTGTTGGTTTCCTCTGTCCAGAGGAATGAAGAATGATGAAATTTCAAGATTCATGGAAACAATTAGTCCTAATGACTAATGTATCATGAGAATATCAGTGTCAACAACCCTGATACCAGAAGAACTTGATGGTGCCCAGCTACCAACTGCTCTGAAAGGGAGAGCATTAGAAGGTCCTAGTTAGAGTGCAAGAAAATGTGGAACAAATTCAACATAATAATAAAAAAAAGAACAACTAATTAGTAGAATAGAGACTGGTGGAATCCTGATACTATGGCCCTTGGTCACTGAGTTCACCATCATGGTTCAATTTTCAGCCAAGCAATGGATAGGTTTTTAAGGGGAGCAATACTAGTGAGCTATGCACACCATAGAATGCTCAACCATTTGAGATCAAAAGGACAGCATTTATGCAAGGGCAAAGTTCAGAAGAGTTGGGAAAGAAGAAAGAATGGGAACAATGCTCTGTAAACTTTCACCTAATTCACAATAAAAAGTTTTTTTTTTTTAATTATTATCTTTTTTTAGAGATTATCATAACTTTCTGAGTTGACTCTTCCTTGAATTGAATGGCCCAGTAGATCCCCTTGAAAGCCACTATTTGATTGGACCTTTTTTTTTTTTTTTTTTTAAGGTACCCTACTGGGAAACCCTGTACAGGGTCACTATGAGTCAGAACTGACTCGATGGCACTTAACAGTAACAACAATGAGACTAAGAGTCCTGGTGTGGTGCTGTAGGATAAACACTGGACTGTTAACCACAAGGTCAGCAGCTCAAAACCACCAGCTGCTCCTTGGAAACCCTGTACAGGGTCAGTAAGAGTCAGAATCAATGTCACTTAATAACAAAAACTAGAATGAGACTAAGTGTATTATTGAGAGAAATTGTTTTCAGTCATTCACTGATTTCAGACATGTTTAATGTACATATATGAACTGGAACCCCAGTAGCAAAACTTTCTTACTTCCTTTGTATTCTCACCATGCTAAAATATCATTCTGGGAGCTTCCAGTGGCCATGTGGATACCACAGTCACATATTAACCTTAGTGGTGGTGGTGGTGTGCTGAGGAGTCAATTCTGACTCATAGCAACCCTGCATAGGGTTTCCAAGGCTATAAATCTTTATGGGAGCAGAAAGACTCATCTTTCTCCCAAGAACAGTTGGTAGTTTTGAACTGCTGACCTTGAGGTTAGCAGCTGGACTCATAACCACTATGCTACCAGAACTCCTGTATTAACTGTATTAAACTTGTTGTTGTTGTTAGCTGCCATTGAGTTCATACCGACTTATAGTGACCCTATGTACAACAGAATGAAACACTGCACGGTCCTGGGCCACCCTCACAATTGTTGCCACTCTTGAGCCCATTGTTGCTGCCATTTTGCCAATCCATCTCGCTGGGGGGCTTCCTCTTTTTCTCTGACCCTCCACCTTACCAAACACGATATCCTTCTCCAGCAACTAGCCCCTCCTGACAATATGTCCAAAGTATGAGAGACAAAGTTTGGCCATCTTGGCCTCCTAGGAGCACTCTGGCTGCATTTTTTCCAACACAGATCTGTTGGTTCTTTTGGCAGTCCATGGCACTTTCAGTATTCTCCTCCAACACCATAACTCAAATGCATCAATTCTTCTATGGTCTTCCT